GCCCGGGCGAACGGGGACCGGGTTCCTCCCGGCGCCGCGGGGACGAGGCGTGGGCGCGGGGCGGGCGCGGAGAGAGCGGAGCCCACGCTTCTCCCCGCAGCGCGGCGGTGAGAGAGGACGGGGGTGAAAAGAGGTTAGAAAGACAAAACAAACAAAACTTGTCCTCCCGTTTCTTCTCAACGTGATTTCCATCCCCAGTGCCTCCAAGTATGTATTGCACACATGTGCCTCATCTTCAGTTACCAGTTGTCAGGTACTTCAGCACCCCCCCCCCCGCCCACACACACATTAGGGAGAGGTCCATATGTGTTTGACCATAGCAGAGACCGGAAGATGGTGTATTTTTTGTGCACTTTACAACTGAAAACGGTTGTGTGACAGTCCCAGTATCGCATGTATGGGGACAAGTGCCAGTCCCATAAGATTGGCCTGTATCCCTTGGGAGCAAGGCTATTTGTAAATGTAATTTCTGGGGGCAGCAAGCGCTAGCTGTTACCCCGGAGGTCAGAGAAAAATTCTTGTGGCCTTTTCCTGCTAAATGTTAGCATTTGATACTCAGGGGACCCGTCTAGATTGTTATTGTATCAGCCAAAGGGCCATCCGAGAGCTCTTAAATCCAGTGCGTCCTCCTTGGCCGCGTTAACGATAGGCAGTGTGAACAGGCCCACGGGGTTCTTCAGTGAGTGAGGGCCAGGTGGAAGCGCCAAGCAGGGGACCCTTGGGAGGAAACAAAAGCTTGGCTGGGAGACTTTCTTCACTCCAGCATCTGTGCAGTGAGGTACCGCCCGTGACCACAGGAACTCCTAGCCTCCCATCCCTGCACAGTTACAGCACACACCTCCTTCCAGTACCATTGGACGTAAAACAGCTTCCAAATGAACCCTGCTGTGACGACTGTCCACGACGAATGGGGGAAATGTCCCCCGTCCCTGTCTTGAGTTCTTGGGGCTGGAGTAATAAGAAAGTTGGCACAAGACAGATTGACAGGAGAAATAGAAACACATTTTGATTACACACAAGGAGGTCTCATAGAAATGGGACTTAGGAAGTGGGTCAATGAGGCAACTTTTACATTTTTTAGACAAAAAAAGAATACATTTGTGAGGATTTGATGGGACAAAGGAACTTAGGTTTTGGTTTAGTAAGGAATCTAAACAGAGTTTGGGCTTGGGGTAGTAAATTAAAGGAGTAACAAGGCTTGTTTGTAAGCCTTGCAGCAAAGCTGCTCTGCCCAAACTCCCTCTCTCTGGCAATAAAAGTGTCCTACCTCCACATGCAGGGAGTGCACCTTTCACGCGGGAGATTTATTCTCTGTTTTCTGGGAGGCAGAGCGGGAGGGTCAGAGTTTCTCTCTTGCACTGGTCATTTCTTAAGTAACTTTAGTTTTAAATAATCAATATGCCACTGTGGCATATTTTGAAGCCCACCCTGAGACCCAATACCATCTTCCAAAAAAAAAAAAGAAAAAAGTAGTTTAGGCTGTAAACTTTTGTATATTAGAGACACAGATGAATTGTATTTTTCACTTTTCTACAAATTTGGCTTTTTTCTTTTGATGGTATGAATGTTTAGGTTGAAGCAACTATCATGATTAGAGTAAAAATAAAAGAACAACATGTTTTTGAGATGAAGATTTTCGTTAACTCACCCTTTTCCTTCTCACCATACACACAAATGTGCAAGTTTCAAAAAGGGAGTCAGAATTTCTTCTTTAAAGACACGTTTGGTGCACATGGAGTGAACACATTATTAGAAATCCTTTTTTTTGAAGAAATTGTCAATTTGAAAATTCCTACAATGTGCCACACAAACAGGAAAATATCAGGACAAGTGTGTTTTTTCCCTTCAAATTTCCCTAGAGGGATTCAAGACTAATCATCATCACTCTGCAGGACATGATAGAGTAATTTTGTTTCTGTCTGAGGGAGTAACATTTTAGCAGAGGGAGAACCACCTCTGGGAAGAGAATTAGTAATGTCCACCCCTGTCCTATGTTTTTTTTTCCCACTCACTATTCAGAAAATGCTCAGTTGGGAAATTAAGTTGGATTTCATCTGTGTTACAAAATTAAACTGGCTATTTCCCAGTTCTCATGTTTCTTTAACAGTTATGGAAGAAATATCTATAAAGGTAAAAGTTAAAATTACTGAGGACTCCTAAGACAAATTATTGAATGATAAAGCACTCTTTAGACAATGCGTGGGGTGACATTTCTCTGAGGAATCTCTGCTGTTTTTGTCAAAGTAACTGCTACATTTTAGTAATGACTACCATCTGGGAAAGACAGTTACTCAAGCGCCTTGATATCTTCTCAAATGATACATGATCTTGATATGTTAGTTATAGGAATAGTGGGAGTAAATAAACTAAAGAAAATACTATTATTTGTTGCACTTTTTTCTCTGACAATTTTTATTATATTCATTAAGAGTAAACGTTTCTTTGTCCACTGTTTCTCTCATGGTAAGTTTAAATCTTTAATTCTTAAATGGTATGGAAAGGGCCATTTTTATGTGTTAAAAATACTTTCCTGATGCTCATTGCTGCATTGATTTCTTTGAATAGTCATAGTTTGTCACATAATCAATATTTAGGCTTAAGGAACTAACTTATAATTGTGAGATGCATGTATTTTTTAAAGTAACAAAAGCTATTAAAAAAAACTCAAAGTATTCGAATGCATAGAGTCATTTTTCCAGAGATTAATGATCATTTTGAGAAGCTGAGGGAGAACTATAAACATTTTGCTGCCTTTTTCTGCCCAGCACTGTGCTACATAAGCAAAATTTTATCTTTCTTTTTAATGCGCTAATGATTACATCATTAAATATAGAGCAGTGAATGATTCCAGAGGGAACGTACAGTTCTTTTAATTTTTTATGTTAAAAATATATATACACTTATGTGCAATACACACGTATATAGTTATACAATCACGAACCATATACATATTTGTTTGATGGATGTTTTTCGTAACACCTGGATGCAGCCAGGTTTTATCTCAAATTAGTGATGTGGCTTTAGACCACTTGATCTTTTTAGTCTTTACTTTCTTTGCCTACAAAACAAAATATTCTGACTAGTAGATCTGGCACCCACTTTGGGCTTGGAATACCTCTGAT